CTATGTTGGATGAATCCACTATCCTACAATTTAGTGATTTGTTCCCTCAGTTCCTCCATCTCAACACGACTCATGCGATAAGGAGCAACCGAAATAGGTTGGGTGCTTGGCTGAAGGTCTATGGTGAATTTGACTTCTCTATCCACTGACAGTCCAGGTAGTTCAACCGGGAACACATATGGAAAGTCTCAGATTATCGAAATCTCTTGAATACAAATTTCTTTCTTGGGTTTGCCTAGTTAGAAAAAACAGTCGGGTTAAAATACTTGATAATAAAATAATTTGCCATGAGGGAAACAAATGTTAAAGAATTTTATTAATTTATAAATGACTCCTCATTAGGAGGGTTGAATACAACATTCTTGTGAAAATAATTTACAGTGGCGTGATATGCCGTTAGCTAATTCATTCCTAAAATTACATCAAAGTTCCCCATGTCAATCTATATTAGGTCAACATTCAATTTCTTATCTACTATATCTATGACACAGACTTTGTATATAACTTTTCCCAATAGTGTCCTACTCCCAAGATTAGCCACAAAGAACATAGAATTAAGTTCTTTAGGTAATACAATTAATTTTGATGTAAAAATATGTGAAACAAATGAATGCGATGCACCAATATCAATCAAAGCATGAGTAGAATGGTTATAGATAGTGTATGTTCTGTACCACATCCGGGTCGGCTTCTGCATCCTACTGAGTGAGATTGTAAGCTCTGCCCTAGATAAGAGGTCTGGCCTGGTTCTAGTTCCTCGGGCACTCCCTTGCATAATGTTGGGCACTACCGCATATGCGGCAGGTATTATTGAGACAATAGTAGGGTCGGTCCCCATGATCCTTACCATAGTGCTGACAGGGCTTACCGCGCCCTGCTGCTAGAACTTGAGGAGGAGCCTGAGTCATTAGCTTGGGTCTCTTATTATGTTGAACAGGTGCAGTAAGTGCTGGTTTGCGGTGTGGAGCCGAGGGCCTGAGGTTCCCTACTGCTAGGGGGAAGGTGCGAAGGTTACTCTCCACTAATTGTGCCTTGGCCAAAACAGGCGAATAGGTTCTGAGCTCAAGCACAAACAACTACTGTTTGATCTCAGGATAGAAACCCCACTTGAACCTTCTAGCCTTCCTGCCTTCATCTGTCATGCTCTACGGGGAATACTGGCCCAACTCTAGGAACTTGCAAGCATATTCTGATACAGTTATGTCTCCTGGACCAAGTGTGCAAACTCCATCTCCTTTAGATATCGGAGATGCTCTGAAAGGTACTCTGCATGAAAGGCCGTCAGGAACTGTTCCCAAGTGACTGGAACGAGCAGGTTGGCCTACTTGAGTTGTCACCAGCGGCTTACTTCTCCCACCAGCATGTAGGTAACAATGATGACTTTCTGTTCGGGAGTCAACCCAAGTGTCATGAAGGCTTTCTCTGTCTCAGCTAACCAGTACTCGGCCTCTTCAAAGGAGGATCCTCTTACAAAAGTAGATGGATTTAGTCTTTTATACCTCTCGACGTAGTCTGGGTCCATCATGGGAGGAGTTGAGTCCCGTGAAAAAGGGACTGGACTGTGCTGAGGATGTACTAGATGGCCCTGTGATGGTATTGGATGATACAGTGGGGGCACCAGATTGTACTGTAGTGGTACCGGGTGATGCAGTTGAGGCACCGGGCCATATTGTGGTGGTGCCGGGTAATGCGGTTGGGGCACCGGGCCATATTGTGGTAGTGTCGGGTGATACTGTAGTTGGAGCACCGGATCATACTAGGGTGACATCGGGTGGTACTGTGGAGGAGCAAGGTCGTACGGGGGTAGCTCGGGATCCTCTCGCTGCAGAGGTGGCTTAACATGTGGTAGCGGAGGAGGGTCAAGTAGCTCCATCCTTTTCTCCCGGGCCTGCTGGGCATCGATGAGTCTCTCCAGTATCTCAAATAACCGGTCAACATCCTCTCATAGCAAATCCTCCCGGGCTACTTAGTTTAGTGGGGGTCTTCCTCTCTTCATCTATCTGTACTTATATTGCACAATGAACAGTTGAGTGATAATTCATTGTTTTTGGTGTTTCCTAAGGATTTTGTGTAAGGAATGGGTCCGATGAACGTGGCTCTGATACCAACTGCAACGACATCAGAAATTTCAAATGAAATAAATCATAAATTAAGTGCAAAAGCAAAATAATTAGTTAGGGTTTACATTCCTTACACAATAACTTAAGGTCCTAAATAGTACTACGGGAATTACTCTTTGAAGGAAATACAAAAAAATAAGGAAATAAATAGAAAATAAATAAAACTGGCAACCTACTCGCAACCCTCTTGTGGAACGGGCTTTGGATCCTGATCCTCTTGATTTAGCTACAATACCCCAGTAAAAATATCACACTACTCACCAGCACAGAAATAAAGGTTAGTAGAAAAATCAAAACAACTAATTGAGTTCTTAATTAAACAAATTCATTTATTATGGACAAAATCATTTACCGCCTACTTACCGTAGCAAGATTTACCAAAACAAATTGTAGAATCAATAACATAACATATATCATGATCGCATATTCAATTAATCAGAACAACAACTTTTCTTTTTTATCAACCTACTAGTATCCATAGGGGTTCATAGGGATGTCCCCATAACGTGTGAACCCTTTCCTTTAACATTTTCAATTAACGAGCCATCCCCATACCCCGTCTGGTATGAGTACCAAATTACAAAATCTCAATACCTCGTCTGATATGAGGGTGAAACGGGCCGTCCCCATACCTCGTCCGGTATGAGTGCCAAATTACAAAGCCTCGATACCCCGTCCGGTATGAGGCAACGTTCACGGTAGGATTCCTTATGCACCCGACCATCTCATAGGATATCTAGTAAGGCTACCATTTCATCCATTTACTTAATCACACAGTTCCCATTTACCTTTAATCTCCAGTTTTCCAATTCAACCATAATCACATAAAATAAACAAAATATGCATAAGAGAATACAATCACATTTTAGTTTCCTAATTTAACAGTAGTCACATAAGGTAGCAGTACATACATTAAAAATTATAAAATTGATCAATCAGATATTATCATGCACTCAAACTGTAAAATAAATCAACAGAAATCAACATGGAATAATTTTCGGTTCTGGCTCCATTAGTAACCCGTAATTAATTATAGATATTTTCTAAATTGTACAAAATACCATATTATTGTTAATTTGACTTCAATTTTATAACAGAGAATAAGGTGAGAGATTATTACTCAAATTAACGTCCAAAAAGCTAAACTTGTTGACTGCGCTTATTGGCGGTCCTCGGGTTCCCTGAATTTTTCTTCGGGGATTAAAACGCGCTTCAAATACCTACAAATATCCCAAAAACCTAAAATCGGTGTCAGCACCTCTTTTTGGCCAATTCTGAAATTCTGACACGACAGCTCTGTCGTGCTCCGGCGATAGCACTGATGGGCGGTTTGCCTCGGGTCAGCTGTTTTCGGTCGGTTTTTCATCAATCCTTGCGAGAAAACACGTTAAGAGGCTTCAGTTGGCCCTAAAAAAAATGAAAAATCGAAACTCACCAGCAGCAGGGTTCTCTAGTGCGGTGGCTCCACCGGCTCACCTTTACGGTTAGGTGTTTTGCTTCGGTCAACCTGTAGAGAAGAAAACAGTGGTTAAAATGGTGAAAGAATTACGCATAACGGGAATCGGGAAGGGCCTCATCGGAGCATTTTTGTAATTTTTCGCAGCGCCAACGCCTGTTTTTCCCGCAGTTTTCAGCCAATTCGCCGATCTTTTAGCTCCGATTTGGCCATGAGGATATTTAAAATTGAATTCCGAGCAAATAAATTTTTTTTTACCTCTTTCGACAGTCAGAAGTGGCTCTGAACCGTTGATCGCGTTTAAATCTGACCGTCCGATCACGTTTGGGGAGGGAACGCATCCGGGCCGTCCGTGCGCGCAGGAGTGAATCTGGACCGTCCGATCGCAGGCACATAGACCGCCCGCGTGGCCTCCTGTGTGGCACCGCATCAGCGTCCGTTGCCACGCGGCGCATTCTGGTTTGTCAGGGCTGCTGACTGGGCATTCTACGTAACACAACTTTTTTAAATTACGTTTTAACCCCCAGTTTTTAATTTTTTTTTAAAAAAATATCATCATAACTTAAATTTTCACCAATTTTTTTTAAAATTATTTTTAATTTCATCCCCCCTCCTATTTTCCTTCTTTTTAGATTAAATTAAAATTTTAAAATTATATTTATAAATTAATTTAAATTATAATTAAAATAATTGGGTATTACAAGTAAAATTTAGAATAATAATTTACTATTCATATATACATTTTCTTAAAAAAGATATCAAGAACTAAAATATTCCAAAAATGGATACTAATATTATAAATAATTAAAGAACTACTTGTCTTTGAAGTAAATGTTGTAAATATTAATATTACAATTAAAACCAATTAATTAAATTAAAGGAAATGATAATAATCCAATGAATTGTGCAATTTATTACATGGCACTTGGGATTTAGGAGGATAAGAAAAGGAGGGGGATTGGAGGTGTTATGGTGTCAAGTAATTAATTAGTATAATCCTAGAACACATAAAACCTTGAAATATGAAAAGTAAAGAGTTGGGTTGTAGGGCTCAGTCTCCCACATTTAGCATGTGTGTTAAGATTAGTGAATTAAACACTCCAAGAAATTACTTTATTTTTTAATTAATATAATAATCAAGGTTGGCCTAACAGGATCCTACATTTATGTAAACCAAGTAATTTTGCACATGAAAATTAGCAAATATCAAAACAACAAATCAAGACCTCTTTTTTGTTTCTTAAATGCAAGGAACATTCTTCTTTAACTCAAAACTCCTATTTATGCATTGTTAAACTCTATACTCTCTCTCTCTCTCTCTATATATATATATATATTGCTCCTTGGAAACATACAAAATAAAGTTTTAAACTTTAACGTCTTCTGAGTTTTGGGTTATTGGAGTCAAGGGGAGATCAGTCTGATTTGAAGTAAAAAGCTTTCTCTACTCCTCTCTTGTTTCCTCCACTTTATTCTCCTCAAATTCCATTCTACTCTTTCACCCTACATTGTCTTATTTCTCAATTTCTTTCTTCCCATGAACAACCTATTTTCTTCTCTTCTTCCTCTTTTTTATTTCACCATTCATCTCTTAAATTTCGGGAATTGGCAGTTCCAGTAACTCCTGCTTTCAGTTGTTCAGATCTTTGTTTCTTCTACATCTGCATTCTGTTGTAAGCAAAACCCACAAAATCATATACTTCAACAACATCCATTATTGGTATATCAGGATACCCACATGAAGTTGTGAAACAATGAGAGATGGGAGCTCCAACAAAAGCAAGGTTTTGATAAATCTCTTTCTCTATGCATTTTCTTTTTCTTCCAGTTTCAATTTCAATCACTAACTCTCCCACTTTTCTCTTTTATTTCCTCGAAGCTTTCATGGACCAAATCACTCGTGAAGAAGTGGCTCAATATCAAGAGCAAAGCCCAAGACTTTCTCGCCAATGATGTCGATTATGGAGGTCATTGTTCTGTTACTAACATTCCTTGCTCATTTTCACATCAATTTGAGTTTCTTCCCTTCCCAATCTTACCTTCTAAAGCAAAAACAAAAATGGGGTCTCCATACATTGTTTCTCTGACATTAAAAAATTACATAGCGTTTTTTTGTTTGTTGTGTTTTGATCTTTAACGGGTTTTACTTTGCAAGCAAGAGTGTGTTATTTGTTTTCTTCCCCTTTCATCTGTTTCAACTTTCAATCCCATTTATTTTTGTATGTTTTAATTTTAGTTTTTTTTTTTTAAAAAGAAAAAAATTTGGTTCAGCTTTTGTTTCTTGTGGTGTTGGAATATGTGGAATTGATTCATTTTAACAGTGGGTATAGCAGAAGCTTTAACAACTTTATGGTACCTCTTTTTCAGGTGGTGATGAATATTGGAAGAACAACTTCTCTGAGAGGGAAGCATGCACCACCAAGAAAAGCAAAACAGGTTCAGCATCAGACACCACCTCTGTAATCAGTATCAATATTGCCTTGGACCACACTACTCCTTTAACCTTCATATTTTAAACTAAACCCAAATATTAAAATGAAAATCTTTTAAGCTTTCCTAATACCCAATACAATGGATGTTTGCAGAGAGAATGAATAAAAGAAGCTCTGATCGGGTTTGGCGAAGTAAGATTGATCTTGATCCCTCACAGGTCACAGATGTGCATAATTATAGGTATTTTTTTTTTTAATGTTAGGCTGATTAGTATCTTTTCAAGCTTTGATTTTTACTGTTCATTTTCATTTCATGTGGGCTCAGGATTTTTGTTGCTACATGGAATGTGGGGGGAAAATCTCCCCCAAGTTATTTAAATCTTGAAGATTGGCTTCACACCTCCCCTCCTGCTGATATTTATGTTCTTGGGTATGCTCCCATTTTGCTGTTTATGGAATTTTTATTGTGATCTCTGGATACCCTCGTTGATAAATTTGGCTCTCAGGTTTCAAGAAATTGTTCCTTTGAATGCGGGTAATGTGTTGGGTACCGAAGATAATGGCCCCGCAAGAAAATGGCTCTCTCTTATTCGAAAGACTCTAAACAGTCTTCCTGGAACTAGTGGGAGTTGCCATACACCTTCTCCAATCCCTGATCCAATTGTTGAACTAGATGCCGATTTTGAGGGATCAACAAGACAGAAAGCTTCGTCTTTCTTTCATCGCAGGTCATTCCAATCCCTGAGCCGTAGCATGAGAATGGATAATGACATGTCAATGTCACAACCACGACTTGATCGTAGATTTAGCGTATGTGATCGAGCTATCCTTGGTCACAGGCCTAGTGACTGTGACCAAAGTTATAGATGGGGTTCCTCTGATGATGAGAATGTATCTGGGGATTCACCAGTTACTGCTCAGTATTCTCAATATTCACCAACATCCTACAGTGGATCATTTGCCATGGAGGATAGAGACAGACAGAGAGGGCACTCAAGGTACTGTTTGGTTTCTAGTAAGCAAATGGTCGGAATATATCTAACGGTATGGGTGAAGAGTGATCTCAGGGATGATGTTCGCAACATGAAAGTGTCTTGTGTTGGCAGAGGCTTGATGGGTTATCTAGGAAACAAGGTACAGTTTGCTTATAAAATTTCACTTTCTGAGAGTGAATTTTTCTCCTGAATTAAGAAAAAAATGTCAATCTCATTGTCTTGGCTTTTCCAGGGTTCAATTTCAATCAGCATGTCTTTGCACCAAACAACATTTTGCTTCATCTGCAGTCATTTGACCTCTGGGCAGAAGGAGGGAGATGAGCTTAGAAGAAACTCTGATGTTATGGAGATTCTGAGAAAGACAAGGTTCCCCAGGGTTCATGGCATGAGAGATGAGAACTCTCCTCAAACAATTTTAGAGCATGAGTAGAGATCTTACACATTAAATTTTGGTTATTCTTCCATTTTAGTGTTTCATGTGCTTTGGTAGTGGAAAATCCATATGAATTAATATTCTGGCTTAGATGAGTTCTATTATTTTCTCTTGTACAGTCGTATCATTTGGCTTGGGGATTTGAATTATCGGATTGCAATGTCTTACCGTTCTGCTAAGGCTCTTGTTGAGATGCACAATTGGAGGGCACTGTTAGAGAATGATCAGGCATGTCTTATTTTGTTTAGCTGTTTTCTAGAATGTTCGTTATAATGTTTGAAGGATGTCCTTGGCTATTTTGATCTCTTTTTGCGCCTTCTTAATCTCAACAGACCGTTTTTGCTTGCAGCTCCGGATAGCGCAGAGAAAAGGACGAGTGTTTGAGGGATGGAATGAAGGGAAAATATATTTCCCTCCCACATACAAGTATTCAAATAACTCAGATAGATATGCAGGTGATGATAGGCATCCAAAGGAGAAGCGAAGGACTCCAGCATGGTAATCTCAATCTCTCCTAAACAAATCTTTTTACTGAGATAAATATTGGAACATTAAATTGGCACGCCTTATGATACATGGCGCCGGGCATAAGGAATCATGTTACCTTATATACCATAAAATTCTGACAGAATTTAGGGCTAAACACGGGTTTTACATGAAGGTGTGATCGTATATTATGGTACGGAAGAGGCCTAAATCAAGTATCTTATGTTCGTGGAGAATCAAGGTTCTCAGATCATAGACCCGTGTACAGTATATTTCTGGCAGAGGTTGAATCTATAAACCGTAACAGAATCAAGAAAAGCATGAGTTCTGCCAGTTCAAGGATTGAGGTCGAAGAGCTGTTGCCATACTCTCACGGATATACTGAACTCAATTTCTTTTAAGGGTCAAATTCCTTAGTATGCTCCCTCAAGACATCAAAAGCCAGATCCTTTGTGCTGCACTTTTGCACAAGGTAATTTATTTTTAAAAAAGAGCATGATATCTTTTTCAGCAGTGTAAGCATGTGACTTCGCTTGTCATTGAAAATGCTTTCCTATGATGTTGACAGCAGTCCAAGATCATGTGAAGTAGATGGGGTTCGGTAGGAGTTTCAATACTGTTTTGCCATCCCAGTCAATCAGGTAAACTTTTGTATAGTTCATCGAATTGATATTAAGAATATAATTAATAAAGATATAAAAAAAAAGCAAAAGTTTTTATAAGTACGATCATTTAGATATTACGGGTAGATTCGAGTACCAATTTGGAAGGTAAATAGGATGAATCCTCAAGACCCCATGGGGCCAAACAGTTGAAGAACCTACATGGGTGATGTGGTATGATTGAATCCAACTCTCTTATGCACAACAGTTTACTACAGAGTGTATGCAATTATAATTTTTGTTTATTGAAACATTTGTAAGCAGAGATAATGTGTTGCTTGCTGGTATTATTAACTTTTATCAATTCTGGTTCCCCATCTTTGCAGGGTCCAAAGAAGCTCGATAGCGATAGGGACACATGCCTACAACCCGAAGAGAAGGATTAGTCCATGATTGTATTGATTCCAAATATGCATATTTTGAAGGCTTTTCCTCTTTTACAACAGGTACAGATTTAATTGTGATGATAATAAGTTGTGAGTCCACAAACTCGATGGCCTGCAATTGGTTTCATGATGCGAAAAGCATACAGTCTCTAACTAGGTAATAGAAGTTGACTAATTGGCCTCAATTATTGTTTGGTGTAAATGATGGAAACAGCCATATCGATTTGTTGAATATGTAAGACGTAGAACGAGGGGGGAGAAATGTTAGTCTTGGCGATTTTGGGTTTATTGACAGTTGTTTATTAGTAGAAATAAAAATAGAGTTGTTTGATGCGAAAACAAGATAGAGAATGTTTTTCAGGAATTTTTCCAGAGGAAGAGGAAGAAGGAAAAGAAAATCAGAGATGTATTTGATACTCATTGCGACTGATAAAAAGAAGCTAAGCTGTGAATCTCTTTTTTTTTTTTTTTTTTTTTTGAGATGAAAGAAAATGATTATTTATTTTAAATTTTCATATTTTGTGTCAAGTAAAAAAGGAATATTGAAATTGAATATGCACACAAAATAAAGAGTATAATAAAATAAAAAATAAAAAACTAAAATTGAGAAATTTTTTTTTTTTATTATTTTAACAATAAAAAAAATAAGGATATACAAAGAAATTAAAAAAGAAAAATAAAGGAAACGGGAAAATCTCTTCCTCTGTGCCCCCCAACTTGATCTCTTTCCTGTGCTTACACTGGACGCGCCCATCGGCGCGTGCCGGAGAACCTACAATATGATTGGTGGTTTTAACTCTGCCATGTGTCTTTCAAATAATAAAAATAGGAATAAAATAATCCGTGGCATGTGACAACTCAAACCTCCCTATCCCTCTACGTTTTTAAATCTGACATATCATTTATAATAATTGGTCACTGACACGTGGCATTAGCACCTTCATATATTTATGAATAAAATATATATATGCCTTACCTTTTTTTTTTTCTTTAGTATTTAAAATTTTGTTTTCCCTGTTAATTTTAATTTTGAGAAATTAATTACTGAAATTTTAAATTGTGGGATTAATTATCAACTATAATATTTAATATCGTCTTAAGTCATGTGTTAAATAAATTCAAACAATATACTATATTTTATTTAAATGGTAACTAAAATAGAAAAAGAATAAAATTAAGTTAATCAGATAAATAAAAATATCAAAACTTCACATTATTATTAACGAAAATTCAGATGAACGTTGGAGCCAGTAATCTGTTATTATCTCGCCTTAATTCATTTTGAGTGGTGCGCTAATTAATATAAAGTATTTTAAAGTTATTATTTTTAAGAAATTAACACAAATAATAATTTAAAATATTGAGAAAGAGGGGCCCACTGTACTTGTTTGTAGCTCCAGAATTTAAGGATGAAATTGATGTACTAACACTCTTTCACATCTTTTTAACACTTGGTTAAAAGTCTTTCATGTTATTCTGAGTTTAATATTAATATTTTCTCTAATAATTTAATATATTAAGTTACCTGAAATCGCTTTTATTTTAGTGCTTTAAAAAAATTCTATTCAAGATGAAACTTACAAAGAAAAAGAAAAAAATTACATCAAAAAATATTATTAATTAGAGAACCCAAAGTTCAACCTATTTGTTCAAGTCCAAACCCAAATTGAAAAATTAATGTCTCCACAAATCCTAGTTTTCTCATATTCTATATGTATACCTTACAACACTAGTATTACATAAGTAAAGCTAGTGATGGACATGGTCAGATTTTATTTTATATTTGGATAATTCAGTAAAAGATTTGGTATGATAGCTCGAAAATACTTCCGAGTTAATTTTTCACGTTTAATATTTTTAATTTAATTTTTATATGTGTTTAAAAATATATAATAAATTAAAGATATATTTTAGATTCAAATGGAAAAATGATGAATAAGTATGAATAAACTAGAATAAACATGAACATGCATGGAAAAATGTGAGAATCTTTTAAATGAAGTGGTATAATGACAAGTGGTAACTTTTAGATGAATTGATATACTGTAAAATGATAATTTTTAGATAAAGTAACATAACAGAAAGTAACAACTTTTAAATAAAATGACATAATATAAATTGACAACTTTTAGATAAAGTAATATGTAAAAAGTGATAACTTTTTAGATAAAACGTCATGTGAAAAGTGATAACATTTTAGATGGAGTGACATGATGAAAGGTGACAACTTTTAGATGAAATGATATGACGAAATGATGACAACCTTTCTCTCATTGCTCACCACTCCTATAAATAGGGAATGAGAGAATGGAGGAAGAGACATTACAGATGAGAGAAAAATAGTGATAAGCATAGAGATGAGGGAAGAATAAGGAGTACAAAGTATGTGATTTTTGAAAATATTATAAGGTTTTAGATAACAATCTTAGAAAAACTCTACTAAATTTGTGAGAGTAAATGAAGAGGAAGAGAAGAGGAAAAAAGCTCACAGTCAACAGAAGGTTATAAACCATTAGAAAGGTAAGCATTTTCTTAAGTTTTGAAGTTCGATTTCTCTTTAACTTTTGGAATTAATTTTTGAGTATTGTATTGGATATTTTTTAGTCAAGAAAGTGATAAAAAATTATCCTGAAACTCTTTCAGATTTTTAAGAGAAAAAAGTCATAAATAAAAATAGAACTCTATTGGAATTAAGATTATGACTGGTAAGAATCTAAGGTAAGTGGATATTATGGATTCATACTCTATGTAATTTTGAAGTATTTTACGTATTTTCAATATAAATATATGAAAGTGTTCGATTTTTTTTTTCGTATTTACTAAGTAAGTATTTGTTAAAGTTTTACTTTGATATAAGTATTATTTCACTTTTTATTTTTAAAGTGTGATTTTGATATGTGTGTATCACTCCTTATGAAAAGGAGTTGTTCTGAGAGTACCTCCATTATGGTGGCTATCAATATGGTCATACATAACCATTTTACGTTCGAGTGTATTGACAAAGTGATTAGTGTGTACCAATACATAATCATTCTGTATTCAGGTGTATGGAGAAATAGGTATAATATTTATACCTAATTGTTCCGTGTTTGAGGGGTAACAATATTTCAAGGTGCTCATGTATGTCGTTTCGTGTTCGGATACATAGGGAACCAGTGATAAATATGTATGCCTATGCATAATGTATGGTAACTGATTGATCCCCCATAATAGTGATGAAGTATACAGCGAAGCAATTGTGAATTTATTTTCTGATTTGTGCATTCCTCTTCTAATTTGTATGAGTTTTTGAAAGATTATATTATATTATATATGTTTTGTTGTGTGTAGAGAAACTATATATTGTATGTATTATAATGTGATTTCATAATATCGCTTGTTGGAATATTTTATCTCGCTTCCTTTATCATCCTACATATACCAAAGATATTGTTGTAAGTGAACAGTGATATGGAGAAAATTTTTGAAGATAGACTCTAAGATTAAGGTTACTTTTTCGTTCTTTTATTTAGTAATGTAAGTAAAAAAATTTAAAATATCATATATGTTTATATTTTACATTTAAAGGATGTAACGCTTTTGTGACTCTATTATGATTAATAAAGTTTAGTTATTATGCTCCAATCATTACCGTATAAGATGGAGTATAATCCATGACAAGTGGTATCAGAGTATTATTCCAAAACATCCTTTGTATATGAGACTTAAAATTACATGAGACTTAGATAGAGTTGTGAAATATAGTAAGATGCCTTTAAGTTCGAATTTCATGAGTGTAGAAAATGACAAGGATATCGAGAGAGTAGGCATATTAGGTTTCTGAAGATCAAATCAAGTAGAGTCTAAATAGACTCATGTGTATATAAAAAACTTGGCTATATTAGTAGGGTAACACGAGTACATAGTCAAAACACTACTAACAGTAATAATGCTAGTACTAGTAACACTCAGCTAATGGAGAAAAATAATAGAAAATTCATTGAAAGACTCAAGAGGATGAACCCACCACTATTTACTGGAGCAACAGATTCGATATTAGCCGAGTAGTGGATCATGGAGTTGGAGAAGATGTTTGAGGTTCTCACCCCAATTTTAGAGCAAAAGATACAATTAGTTACATTCATATTCAAGGGAGCTGCATAACACTGATAACACTTGAAGAAGGGACTCATGAGGACACCAATCCGGTGGGAAGCATTTGGAGTGACATTCTGTGATAAATATTTCTCTGACTTTGTTCGAGAAAAAAAATAAATAGAGTTTCTAGAGTTAAAGTAAGGGAATATGAGAGTGGTAGTTAATGCAAAAAAGTTCATAGAGTTGGCTCGGTTCGCACCCAACTTAGTAGCAAATGGAAGCCTAAGAGGTAAGAAATTTCGAAGAGGCCTGCATAAGGAGATTTTCGATAAAATCTCAATTTTGAAGATTAATGACTACCAAGAAACACTAAAATGAACGTAGATTACATAAAAAGCTATAAGCCAGTCCCACAATAGATCTAGCATGTTCGACCATTCATACCAAACAATAAGATGAAGGATCATGAGCCACAATAACTATATGAAAACAGGTTTCCTAGTCCCAGCACAAGGGCCAAAGCAAATATACCCCCATTATGGAAAGAGCCATGGTAGCAAACCTTGCTGTAAGTTGACAAATAGATGTTTCATATATGGTAATACTCAACATCATATTAAAGATTGTCTTATCAACAAAAAGTAGACCATGCCAAGAAATCAAGAAATAGTATATGCCTTTACAAAGAGAGATGCTGAAGCCTCGCAGAATGTGATCCAAGGTATGCTCACTATCTCTAGTGCCTTGGATAAGTCTTAATATACCTAGAATCTATACACTCTTTT